AATTATGCATGAGCTTGCCGAAGTATACATTCGCTGTGTATATGATTGGTTTTGCTTGTAAAGGTCAATTACAATTCACTTCCGGTTTTTTCTCTTTTAAACATTAAATTAAACGGTGGCGAAGATTCAGATCCTTTCTGAAATATAATTGCTTATTTTATGTCCTAAAGGACAACCACTTGTAACTTGTTGTTAAATGTTTGAGTAATCTGGCAATAAACAGTTTCCGTGGCAACGAGATCCCGAACTCAGCCAACCGGTTCCGTATAAAAAAAGCATTTTAAAAATTATAAACACAAACAAAAACAAAAATAACTGAACAACTCCAACAAAATATAATCCTTTGAATAATATAGTTTCAAGGGCATTCGCTTCTGAAAATGTCATCATATGGCGTGTCAATAACATTTTGAGTACCCTGTCGAATTATGTTATTACTCATTTCGTAAATGTTACTGTAACAGCGGAAAATGATTGGAACCAGGAGCTATATCAACATATGGATTACATTAATAGGTAACAGATGCCACAGCCAAAAAATACAGAAAGTGATAGTACTCTGAATAATCAGGCATTTTGCGGTTGATATGACTCAAAAAGATTTCACTGATGATTGGACATAACCATGAACGTTAGTAATTATCAATCATTTACCAAAAAATTCCGATGTTAAACTATTTAGAATCCATATTAACCGGATGTCACTATTTTGATCGGTGCTATACACACGAACACATTTCGTGGTACCATAGTCTTCACACAGCGTTCGATACGTGTCAAATAAACCGATACATAGTTACTAAGTGTATTAAGTACATCAAATTCGAACTTCTCGTTATAAAACCATGTTATTGTGTACGTTTTATTTATTTGCATACCTGTTTGCTATTTTCCAACTATCTCCAAACTCGTCGACATCTGTCGCAGGAGACCCGTCAGGCTTGATAAGATCGTTTTCTGGATTACCGTCAGCATTTCCCAACAGCCCACACACATTACCATACATAGTATTGCTGTTCAGGGCCATCAGTATTTGATGTGGCTTTCCTCTCCACGTGATTGTCAAACGCGGGTTGTGCAGGCGCACTATCGTTGTACCTCGTACTGTCTGCACAGTGCCAAGGTCTAGGCCGACGGAGGCTGATGTTCCGTTGACTAGCTTTCCTTGAACCTGTATGTAAAATGTATGAATAAAAAAAAATGAAGAATAAAACAACGCCATAGTATACCACTGTAACAAGATATTGCACAATTCGCGAGTAGCAAAAGTAACTTATTGTTTAATATTCCATGTAGTGTGATAGTGTATTGAGACAGTAAGAGGCAGGTATAAAGTGCAAATTATTATTCTATTCTATTCTATTCTATTCTATTCTATTCTATTCTATTCTATTCTATTCTATTCCAACTCCTCGTGATGTTTTAGCGCAAACTGGATCAAGTTATACATGAAACAACAACACATAAAACATGCACCTACATGTACAACTTGGGTATATTACAATAACAGGACTGTCCAGCGCTACCTAATTGCACCCACCTCGAAGGAATTGTCTTCGAGCATTCTAATCATCAATTTGCCGTTAATATACACGTTGATTGCAACTATGCGTGTTACACCTTGGTACGGCGAACGAACATTCCGGCTTCGAAAGTCACCAGCAATAGTGAACGACGGCGTGTTTCCATTTAGACAGTCTTGGACGAGGATGTAAGAGCAATATCCTTGATAGTCAAATTTCAACCCATCGAATGTCAGTAGATGAGGATCTCCAGCGATGTTAGCGCCTGCAATAGATGTTGTAGATGAAATTACACTCCAATAAAAAGTGGAATATATTAGGAAAAAACGTTGTCACATTATAATATGATGATGTAGTATAGGCAATATTTGGGTTTAAAGACAACTTATACTGAGTGAACGTTTATAGAGGAAGCAGAACCAGGTTCGATATAATAAATTGTTGTTTCAATTTTCTCAATGACAAGTCTGCATTTTTATTTTAACTGGTTAATCAGTGGTTATTCTTAAAGATGTAAATGTTACGATATGCAAATTTACTGATTTGTGAGTTAGAGCAATCATGGCATGCGTAATAACTCTATATTGTGCAGAAGTTTCAATATATACGACAAGAAAGCACCAAGTACGGTGGCGTAGTGCATTATATCATACAGCTCTCCGGGTAGTGGCGCTAAACTCACTACAAACGAACAGAGAGGGGCGCGCCTGTTGCTGACACGTCTGGAGTGTGGAGATACGTGAAATAATCGTAATAATGTACACGTACTGTCTTTTTGTTTGATATTTACCACCATCTCTCATCATTTTGGTCGCAGCACCTTTGATTTACGACTTACTATCCTGGTTGTTAAACGACACTGATAAATGTAACATGGTTAATGCGATGGACCGTACCACGATCAGCAGAAACGATCACGATTTCACACTACACGATAATTACTTACACTTCTGAATTGAGATTACACCACTGTAACTGGGGATGTCCGTGTCCTCCCAATAGACTTCATAATCGACATTACTGCTACCAACAGTAAAAGCATTTGAGCCCGAAACTCCAGACACGGTCATTGTGTCTGTAATGGGATTGGGAGGTGTTTGGCCGGCTTGTACGATGGCATAGAATATATCTGCATCACCACCTACGTTGCCAGTAATTTCCAATCGGATTTCACTACTTTGACAGGTGTCCCAAAATGCGTCAACAACATAGCCACCATGACCTTCAGAGAAAAACAGCACACATTCACATATCTTTAAGACAATGTTGTGGGAAATTGTTTTGCAATGCCATACATAGTTTGGAGTATAATAACTCATTGACTGATTGAATCATTGCCCTTTACCATGTCTGCTAGAAGGTGAATTGCTTATTTAGTATCTTAAGCGACCCCGTATGCAGTGGTTTACTCTGTGGTGTGGTAATGTACATGTTCTATAGTGCGCTGTACCCGTATTAGCTCTTTGAGCACGAGGGAAAGAATTCACAGTATGTCATAGTATGTAGTGTTATACATTTCTATAACGCATCGATTACATGACAATACAATGGGAAAAACATGTACCTACGCATATATTCCACGGATTTATACGTCATCGGAAATACATCAATAGATTGTCTGTTTTTTCGTTATTATATTTGAACTCAAATTATTTTTTGCTTTATTTGTGAGAACTATTATTATATACAAAATGAGAGCATATCCTTTGTGATTACAAAAATATCCAAATGCACAACCTACACTTATTAACTGGTACGGATCCTTGTCCTTGCGTGGGATCAGTGCTGTCTTTCCAATGGATCACATAGTCAATAGTGTTGTCTGATACGGTTTGAACTTCTGAACTAGACGGTGGCGCTGATGTGAACGTATAGGGGTAAACGGCGGGTACTATACCCCCTGCAGGCACGATGGCAAATTCAATCGTAGCGGAGGCTGTCAGATCGCTGATCTCGATGCGTATATTCTTCTGTACGCAGGTGTCCCAGAATGCATCAACCTGATACCCGTCTGAATAGATTTAAGATAAGGAGCAATTACGATGCGTAATTAAGTACAACCCAGTTGTAAACCAACAAGAAGAACTAGTTGTAATCTGCCAAAAGCTGGACGAAAGGTTCACTCTCAAGGAACAGGTTTGTCCAGAAAAATGCCACGAAGCATTAAAATTACATTCCACTTGGTACCATTGCTAGTAGCACACTTTAATTTGTAATTATTCAATTTACTTCTTATTAGTCGTTGCAAAGTTCCCGCAAAGTGCAGCGTGGGTAAATTATGTTCTTATTCTGTGATTACGAGTATATTTATACGGTAATAATAAAATAATTAAGACACAAGTACTTCCCTCATCAGCAAGAGCTTTATGTTTAATAATTCACAGTACCGACGAGCATACATTATCGACAGAACTATGTACTTATGTTTGGTCACTCAAGGAAAACACTATTGCGCATCGAATCACATGGACAATTCTTCTCGTGGTAGTCCATAATATAGCTGTAGCAAACGTTGAATGCATTTTATGTTTGAAGGAAAACTTTATCATAGTATGTAGACCCCACAACTCCACACTGAACAAAAGAAATGAACTCGTATCATCATGCCGACACAGATCAGATTGACTATCATATTAATTTATAATGCATGCTTGTTGGTGCAGTGAATTATTAAACATAAAACTGCTGATGAGTGAGGTACTTGTGTCTTACGAGTTTTAATATTTATGTAGTTGTGTCTTAATTCCTATATTACCGTATCTATCCGTTCTACACTATCGCGTGTGCCACATACACTATGTAACATACAATTCCTGCCAGCTGCGAACAGAAAATTCCACGTCGCAATTTTAAGACCACAATATGCATGTTAGTTAATCCTTTCGATTTTGTTATTTTATAATTTTCAACGAGAGGGTAAAACTAATAATCCCATTACGCCTGGTAATTTTGGGTTTTACTTCGACTGTTACATTTATGATATATTGTGTTATTTTTAGTATGTCCGCAAATTAAAATCAAAACACCCCCACAATATTCAGAAATTGAAACATATGAATGTTGTACACAACAGTAGATATCCGCAAAAACAATGGTTTAAAGGCAAAGTTAAAGACAGCGGTTTTCATACCGATATTAGTCACCCAATAAATCGCACAATCTTCCGAAATTTCTTCGTATTCCGATTGCTGACTTTACAATTGTTACATTGCATTTGGTTACAAGTTATTTGTGAATGTAGTACATGAAATAATCACGTCTAAAAGAAAAAAAAATATGGTGCTGGCTTTAGATGATAGTAAAGTATTTGACATATACTTACTTGTACAGGAGACAACGCTTATTATGAGCACGAGAAACAACACATAGCGAACAACCATCATGAAAATAATTTGTCAGCGGAGAAAGCAGAATCTTTAGAACCACATCAGTTCACGGCGATTTGTTGTGTGGGGATGCTGACAATATTGGTTTCATTATGAGCCGCACCTGTTAGGGATTATCATTTGAGGGGTTGCCAGGGAGGGCGCTATTGAATATATATAATACATCACTAGCTCTTTCAATGTACCATACAAATTATATTGTCGGTTTCAGTTCATACTCTACACTAGAAAAATCCAGCATTACACAACATGTTCGAAAAACTTTCATGTTGTTTTGCTGAATGGTTGACTGAAACGTCGACTGTATGATGTAAACGATGCAAATGTGAAGCAAACAGAGTAACTACTAGTAAATTAAACTACCATACTTGGTATTGATATTAGAATGATAAACTGCCAACGTGTTTTGTTTATTAGTTCATTTCCGTAGCATAATTATACCACATTGAATGATTGATCTAGTTCGTATAGACATGATTTTCAGACATTTTATCACACCAGCAGAGTATATGTAATTTATTCCAGACCCATCGGTGCAATGCGATAGATAATCCATCACATATGACACATACTACGTTAGTAAAAATGTATGATTGCACTGGCGTATTATGCTAATATTTTCACCAAATATTGTAGGCTTAAATGTACCGAATCCACCACGGACACATGGGTTCAGCTGGTACCCTAGTGATCTGAACGAATTTGATGTTGGCCGTGTGATACCCTGCATTCACAGATTGGCAATGTCCGTCAAATATACAAAAATCTCTCGAGTTTTATTTAGCTAATTAGTAGATTCTTCCAAGGTCTGAATGATTGTCGGAAAAGGTCAGTTTTGGGGATAGAATAATTGCAGCAAACAACTCTTTTTGAAAGCGACAGGCAGTTTAGTAAGCAGGAGGACGGGTGTTATAGTAGTGACCTTGAATACGGAAACGTTGTCTCCCTTTATGGAAATGGCGTCCCAGAATATGGGAATGGTGATCGCATATGGTGAAACTGCCCACACAAATACAGAAATGACGTCTCCGTATATGTAAATGGCGAATGCAAATAAGGAAATGGTGAATATAGATGGGAAGCGTAATGATGCCGATGTTCCAGCCGAAAATACCAGTTTCTACTATCATTAAATATCAAGAATGAATCAGGTATATGATTATAATGATAGACACCGTTTATTTAGTGCAGACTACAATGTACCGGGAGAGATAATGGCACGCCAAAAGTTGAAAAATTGTAATTTGATAAAAAATAATTCCATCGTGTAAAGTAAAAAAAAAAAATACGAATGCAAAATAAAATGATAAGTATTTTGAATATACTTACTTATTTATAATAGTGCAAAAATGTAACAAAATGCATTTTTTGTTTTTCCGAAACCGGATCTTGTTTGTGTGTCGTATGGTAATACATTGAACGTTATCCGAATGTTGATTGAATGTTTTTCACTTTGATTTTCAGATCGCTTTCGAAATGGCCGATTTTATAAGTTATTTTGTTTAAATGAATCCTGCTACAGATGTGTTGGTTCCATATCTCTGAAATCTTTTGACCAATCATGTTCAAAATTACGTCATTTGTTTTGTGATCAAAGCCAAAATGTAAGAATGTCGTCTCTTATTCACCTTAAAGTGATTACGTGTCAAATACAGCATCAGTTTCAAGGCTGTTTCATTAATACATCACTTACTTTCTCTCTTAATTCACGGATACGGTTTTCACTAGTTGCACTCTTTTCTACAACGAGATTTTTCTGTTTGTGTTTACTAATTTACTGTTTAACTAGATTAACCAAATTCAACAATCAATTTTAAACATTTGAATTACGAAATGGTACATCTTCATGGTTTAATTATTTTCAAAATAATGAAATAAAATAACTATTGTGAACAATCAAAATATACTCTTGTATACAATGACGCATATCGTCAGTTGATATGGTTACGTGACGTCACAATCTTCACATTACCTGTTATCATGTTGCGCGGCCGTGTTTATCACAATGATATGGCATCATAACGGGCTGTGGCGTCCTCTCAATTTGGTTCAAGGATACTACAAACGACGTCACTCGTATCAACCGCTTGGTTTTACGAATGCATGATATCAGGCGATAGCATCATAAAGTCGTTGGTGACTGTTTTTTTCTCCAGTGTATGTTAGTTGGGAGTATTAGGACTGGTCATTGAAAGTCCATGGCAATGTCTGGGCGCAGACTTTTCCTTATCCTGATTTAATATTGGAAACAGCACTGTTATAACAAGAATATATATAGCTAAATACAAACACTGGAATAATGTATCTGTATTTTCAAATATTTTAACTGGATGTGATTATTGTGATTCATTGCCACGTGCTTCATTGGAACATATGTTCTCAGTGCAGCACGACTCCTTTTAAAGTGTTATTTAATTATGTAAACACACCTGTTACTGCACGTGGTAACTAACCACACAAACAGTTGAAAAAACATAACATCTTATGTCCATGTTGACGCTAGTACACTTACTATAATTCATTGCTATCAGAAGTATGCTGGTTAGGTCACGTCACTGTAAAAATGGTCACTTCATACGTGGACCATATTTTGACTTTGTCGTCGTAATATTATAATCTTGCTCATATATTTGGCTTTGGTGTAAAATAGGAACGCAGAATTAAATATATGCGTCACCAATTTGATTATTTAGTTTTTCCTTCGTCGGAAACCGTATTAGGTAGTGATATGATTGGTTCTGAGGATTTTGAAACTGTAAAGTTGAAGTATGTGAATCAGACCAAGGTACCAATGTGTTAAATAAGTTTTTAGTTTTGTGATAACATTTTAAATCAGTGGTTTATTAGACTTTGATGGCATTGTCGAAAACGTAGTCTTGATGAATGACACATCAACGCATATCGAGCCAGGCCATTTCATCAACGCATTCAGGTAAGACTATGATATCGGACGATTTAGAGGTTGATGTTGCGAGTACAGACCTTGCGCATAAGTATGTGTAGATATCAATCAAAATGTTTAATATGTCGGTTCTTCTATCATTGTTGATGTACACGAATAATAATGAATCGTGTCAACGCAAGATGTAGAACGAAGTGATGGATTCAATCCAGATGGTGGCATGCGTATGGAAAGAGTGTTATATGCCAATGACATCATATTTATGTGCGTTTGGCTTATTTCATAGTTTAATTTAATTCGATACGGGCCTGTTAGTTTTAAAGATTCGAGTTGGGTTCCTTATGTATTGGGTGATTGCACAATATGTTGACACGAGAACATGATTGTAATCGAAATAGCAAGCATACATACGAACATATACACATGGGATAGGAGATACGAAGTCACAAGTCGGCAAGTCCGCTTTGAACAGACGCGCTGCCCATTACGAAACACCACACTGTACCAATGAAAACATGTTGTTATATGCGTGTGGTGGATACGCTCTTACAATGACTAGTTGGCGTGCGTAATTCGAATCTATGACGTCACATATGACGTCAGCTGTGAAGGATGGAATGATGGTATGATTTTATATTCAAGGTTAGCACGCTGTCAAGCACAAATTCCTGTTTTTGTCGTGACGTCGAGTTTATGGTTTTACAAGCATTAAGGATAAACTATTTCAAATACATTTACATGGTATAGCGACTGAATCACGATATGTTCACATGTGTGAATAACCATGTCATCATTATCGTTAAGCTAAGGTGATACATACGTAGAATATCGAATGACACCAAATTTACGGTGGGGGTCAGCCCTTGGCATCATCGCTATTCGAGAATAAGATTGTTGGGCATGTTTATTAATTTCTATACGAAATAAGTGTAAATAAGTCTAGCAGCATGGAGGATATGTATACCCTTCAATTCTTTGGATATATCATGGTCATGTTTTTTCATGCAGCTGTGTTTAATCTATCTGTTTATCTGCAGCGTTGACGAAAATGCTAAGTCGGCCGTTTTAGAGTTATATCTGTTGATGTTGTAAGAACATAGTAAGATTCAGAGTCATCAAATAACTTTTTTAAGGTAGAGATGCAGTTTACCTGACAGGTATTTTAAGTTAATTAGGAAGCCAAGATGACCTCCCTTGTCCACAAAACTATATATTTTCGAAAAGCTTATTGTATTAATTTTAAAATGTTGTTAGTATTTTTTTATGGACTGTATATGAAATAAATGCACAGAAATGTGCTTTTTTGATCAAAAGTGATTTAAAAAAAATAGTTTCTAAACCATGCTTCTGTTTCCTGTCAAAATTGGTTTATGAGTACATCTGTTTACTATGAAGAAAGTGCCGTCTTGAAAACTGTCTACCAGTTGTCAATTTTGCAGGGCGGCAGCTCAAATTTCACTACTTCAAGTTTATGCATAAATTAACACCCAGGTTATTTGTCTGTACGATTGTTGTAACACTGTTCAACCCAAAACAATGCCCCGACGGCGTTTTGAAGATAAAACACATTGTCAATCATTTGTTAAAATTTCAAAACAAAAGGTCAAAGCGTCTAGGAGCTATTTTTTTTTAAAGTTATGGGGTGTGCACTCAAAAAAAGCTAAGATAATAACAATTCACTCAGTAAGAAGTTTGCTAATGCTCATAATTAAAATGGCTGTAACAGTTCCAAATTTAAATATATTATTGTTTTTTTATAAGTAAACTATAGTGCATAATATGAGATCCCATATCATCATGTCATCACCCGTGTATTTCACCCTTATACCGTCAAAAAAAGAAGTGATATCTAGAAATTAGATTCAGAGCTAAACGATTGAAAACTTGAACAGACGTCATTTTCATTTTGCAAAACGAAATAGAATTATCATAAAAGCCAATCTTTCGATGTGCCTTTGAATTAAAAGCAGCATATGACTGGATAGACCGTGAAATGTTTTCTAAAAATACTTCTATATGCGTCAACATTCTGAAAGCACTCTATTTCAAAAACGCCATTGCAACAATCAAAGATTCAAGACATAACAATTCTTCTTTTGATATGCAGACGATGTTGTATTGAATGACCAGTCATTGTTAATGTATACATGGTTTCTGTTTTACGATGCGATGCGATGA